ATGGAGGAACTCTGTAAAAAATGGCTGTAATTCCTAAACGGTTAATGCAATATTTTTGTTAAACCCCTTGAATTAAAGCTGAAAGTCTACGCTTCAGTCACATCTTGACTACTTCATTTCAAATCCACTGTGGTGGTGTACAGAGGCAAAATTACCAAAACTGTGTCACTGTCCCAATATTTATGGACCTGACTGTAGTGCTTATTTCTTGCTTCCACAGAAAATTCAGGACAAGGATACCCTTGACTTGCTATTTTCTGATCTGGATCAGAACGGAGACCGAGAGATAGACTTCCAGGAGTTCATACCTCTCATCGCCATGGTGACATCAGCATGCCACGATCTGTTCATGTTGGAGCACAATCATTAAAATAAACGACTCTATAAAAATAAACACCATTATAAACTGTGCTTTCAGTGAAGTTCAGATATTTATTGCATGAATCGTTCACTTGGTTTTGATGTGTATGGTTATTTCATGTATTAAGACTGAGCCAACATGGGGTCGCCCGACTGGTGCAACAGAAGAGCTCGCCCCGTTGTCGGGAGATTGTGACTTCGAACTCTGACGATGCCACCGCCATCTGTGGCCGGCAGTCAAGGGAGCAAAATCGGCATAGTCTAGCTCCCCTGTCAATCACAGCGACAGTAGCAAATCCAGTGCGCTATGAGCTCATGTCTATGTCCATGAGCTCATGTATGTGGAAGCGGGTGGATTGCACTTTCCTCAGAGTGTGTTATGCTGCTCCGTGATGCAGCACGAGCAGCAGTTCGAAAAAATGTGTTTCGCTGGCATCACGTAGTCTTTGAGAAAGCACGTGTTAGCCTTTGCCTTCTCTGGATGGTAGCTGTCATATGATATTGGAGAGTTAGCTGGTAGGAAGAAAACATACAAACAAACAAACAAAAAAGGATTTCTACTGGGGTTGCCACATCATTTCTCACAAGTTATAGTAATATTTTTAATAAACATTCGTCTTGAAACAAACCTTGTAGAAGATATTA